GGCCCTGCTCTGTGTGTGACAGGGTATGGAGCCCCAACCCCCCTGATGGGCCCTGCTCTGTGAGTGACAGGGGGCAGCGCCCCAGCCCCCTGATTGGCCCTGCTCTGTGCGTGACAGGGGGTGGCGCTGCAACCTCCCATCGACCCTGCCTTGAGTGTGACAGGGGGCGGTGCCCCAACCCCCCAATCGGCCCTACCCTGAGCGTTACTGAGAGTGGCATCGCAGACTCCTGATCCACCCTGCTCTGTGCATGACAGGGGGCGGTGCCCCAACTCCCCAATCAGCCCTGCTCTGAGCCCGACCAGGGGCTGCACCTAGGGATTGGGCCTGCCCCCTGCCACCCGGGAGCAGTCCTAAGCCAGCAGGTCATTATCTCTTGAGGGGTCCCCAACTGTGAGAGGGCACAGGCCGGGCTGAGGGACTCCCCTCCCGCCCCGAGTGCACAAATTTTTGTGCACCGGGCCTCTAGTATATATATATTTATTTATATTATAGGCCTGGTGCTTGAAATTCGTGCACGGTAGGGGGGTCCCTTCAGCCCAGCCTGCACCCTCTCCAATCTGGGACCCTTGGGGGATGTCCTAAACCGGCAGTCAGACATCCCTCTCACAATCCTGGACTGCTGGCTCCTAATCGCTCACCTGCCTGCCTGATCACCCCTAACTGCCCCCTGCTGCCGGCCAGGTTGCCCCCAACTGCCCCCCCCCCCTCACCGGCCTGTTCGCCCTGCACTGCCTTCCCTGCCAGTCTAATCGCCCCCAACTGCCCCCTCCCTGCTGGCCTGGTCGCTCCTAACTGTCCCCCCATCCCGCCAGCCTGGTCACCCCTTACTGCCCCCCCTTCTGGCCTGAATGCCCCCAACTGCCCCCCTGCTGACCTGGTCACTCCAAATTGCCCCCCCTGCCGGCCTGATCGCCCCTCATGCCCCCTCGCACCCTCCGCCGGCCTGGTCACCCCACACAGCCTGCTGTTCAGTCTTTTGGTCATCCCTCACTAACCCCCTGCTGGCCTGGTTACCCCATGCAGTCTGCTTGTTCAGTCGTTTGGTTGTCCCTCACTAATCCCCCTGCCAGCCTGGTCATAGGCAGCCATCTTGTGAGGGCGTGAGGGTTAATTTGCATATTACCGCTTTATTATATAGGATATACATACTAGTATATCCTATATAATAAAAGCCTAATATGCTAAGTGTCAGGTCATTCGTTCGTCTGTTCAACCAATCAAAGCGTAATATGCTAATGATATGCTAAGGCCACTCAATTACTAGTAAGTAATGTGCACTGACCACCAGGGGGCAGATGCTCCGACCAGTAACTTAGCTTGCTGCTGGGGTCTGGCAGATCGATTGGGACTGAGTGAGATGGGCTGGACATGCCCTGGAGTCCTCCCATGGTCCCTCCCCAGCTGGCCAACTTCCTGCGTCCTTCCCCAGCCCCAATCGTGCACTGGTGGGGTTCCTCAGCCTGGCCTGTGCCCTCTCTCAATCTGGGTCACCCTGGGGGATGTCGGAGAACTGTTTTCGGCCTGATCCCACAGGCCAGACTGAAGGACCCCACCGATGCATGAATTTGTGCACCGGGCCTCTAGTATATATATATTTTAAAAAAGAAAACATTTAATTTCTCTGCTTTAGAAATGGATTGTATTTGTCTATCTTTCCTGAGTTGAGCTTTGAAAAGGGAAAAGTTATAATATCATGGTTAAGCAGAAATGGTGAGCTTATTGAATTATACATTGTTTAAATGTTGTCCATTGTGTCAACCCATGGCCATCAACAATCCAGTTTTACTTGTGTATTTTCCTGCTATTGTCAAACATAAAGTATTAATTTTTTCTACATCATTCTTTGTCCCCACATTTCCCTCAACTTTAAACACTGAGCAGTTGAGGATGTGAACAATTTTATTATTGAAATTATCAGTCACTATGAACAGCGATCATTCATCCAGGTTTACTATATTCCAGGTCCTCTATACTACATTATCTCACTTAATGTCCACCTCAACTCCATAAGGCCGGGAACAATAGCATCTCACTTAATGGAGGAGACAGACAGAGGCTAGACTTACTAGTAAGTAATTTGTCAAAGTTTGTCGTAGACCTGGGCTTTGAAACTCTCGTCTAACGTCTTAGCTCTGTGTCCCTAGTCACTGCTGTACCTACTAACAGAAGGAAAAGTGCTCTAAAGCATTCACTGGCTCTCTGTCCACTCGGGCCACACCCACGAGGTCCTGGTGGAGGAAAACTGTCCTGTTTTGGCTGTCAGTTCACACCATCAGCAGGGCTGTTGGAGCACACTTCCTTCTCTTCCTTGCCCTGTCTCTTCTGCCTTGACTTTTTTTTTTAATAAAGTATCACCTAAAAAGGTGGTGAGTTGGGAAGTGGGAATCTGTTTGCATAAACCCCACATGTCTCAGTCACTCACCAGCAGCCTAATTGGCATGTGGGGTCCATGCCCTCTGCAGCAGCCTGTCCACATGTGCCATCCAGCACACCCCGGGGCCCGGGCACTCAAGTGCTCTGCTGCTGGTTGGTGTTCAGTTCCCAATCTATGAGCAGGCTGTGGGGAGGCAGCTCCAGGGAATCAGAGTTATTTACTGTCAATATTAGACTCGGCTGGGAGGTGTGGCTAGTCCCAGCACAATGTCCACGGGGCCAGGGGCTTTGATCACCTGTCATCTGGCTGCCCCTTTCCTGTGAAGAGGACAGAGAATGTCCATCTAGTCTTGGCCAGGCTCCTGGCAGGAGTGGGTCCTGGCCATAAGAAAGGAAGATCATATCTTAGGTTCATTTATTCACTTAAGGGGGAAGTATGTCTCATGGATGGAGCACACAGAATGGTTAAGATCTCGACTCAGGAGCCAGACTGTCTGGGTTGGAATTGTGTGGTCTTGGGCATTATTTAATCTCCCTGTGCCTCAGTTTCTTTACCTAAATAAATGGATAATAATAGCACCTGCTTCATAGGGATCTTTCGAGGATTATGTGAGGTATTTAATTAAATGGGTTCGAAAGCCCTATGAGACCAATGTCTGGGAGAGAAGTGTTACATCGTGTTTATCAAATAGTACATTAAAATAAAGTGGTAGGCGAACATTGCTTGTAGGTAGACAGTGTTATGACACGTGAAGCTCACCTAGTTACTTCAGTAAACATTTTCACGATGACTTCCATGCAAATGGAATCTTACTAACTCTACAAGGGGAAGTTGCCATTTTATTTACTAACTAGAGACCCGGGTCCCTCAGCCTGGCCTGCGCCCTCTCGCAATCCGGGACCCCTTGGGGAGGGTCTCTAGGCCTGGCTTTTCTTCCCCCGGCTGCCAGTAGCTGGCCCTGCCCCCGCTGCTGCTTGCCATCTGTGTGGCGCTGCCTCCCCCACCCCTCCCCCGGCCACTGGTTGCTTCCCTCTGTGGGCCACAGGGGTGGGGTGCAATCTCTTGGCTGGCCTGGGTCTCCCTCTGCGGGGCGATCGCTGGCTGGCCCTGCACACCTGCCACAGCATTGCCTCACAGAGGGAGGCACTGCACACCAGCCACAGCGCCACCAGCTGGGTGGCCTGGGCCTCCCTCTTTGGCCTTCCTCTGTAGGGGGATTGTGGGGCAATGGTGCCCCCCCCCCCCACACACACACCAATCACGTCACACCTGCCTTGCTTGGCATGGCCCAGTGCATGTCATAGCATGATTGTCTGGAAGGTCATCAGGACTGTCGTTTTGCTGTTCCCTCGTTTGGTTGATTTGCATATTATGCTTTTATTATTATAGATTACAGGTGACATTCAATATTATATTCATTTCAGGTGCACAGCATAGTGGTTAGACATTAATGTAAGTCACAAAGTCAAATACCCACCTGGCACCATACATAGCTGTTACAATATGAGGGAATTTGCCATTTTAAAGCATCATATGATAAAAACGTTTGTAAACTGCCGTTTTGTGTCCAGCCAGTGTAGTTCAGTGGTTGAGTGTCAACCAATGAATCAGGAGGTCACTATTCTATTCCTGGTCAGGGCACATGCCTGGGTTGTGGGCTTGATCCCCAGTATGGGGGTGTGTGGGAGGCCGCAGATCAGTGATTCTCTCTCATCATTGATGTTGCTGTTTCTCCCTCTCCCTCTCCCTTCCTCTTTGAAATCAATAAAAATATATATATTTTTAAAAACCTGCCTTTTTGTAAAATGGACATGAGGAAAACAGGAGGAAGAAGGAAGTCCAGGATGACTTGATATTTTTGAGCATGGCTACTGGGAGGGTAGAGCTGCCATCATCTTGGGTGGGGAAGGATTCCAGTGGAGCCATCTTTGGGGGAGGGAGAGTCGTGGTCCAAGTTTGGATGCGTTAATTTTGAGAGGCCTGATAGATGATGGGCAGCCGGGGAGCCAGGTGGGAAATAGGGCTAGAAGCACCCTTGCGGTGGCCCTCTTCATAGACATGATCTGCAGCTGAGGGAAGGAAAGTAGACGGAGAAGCGGAGGAGTCCTGGGCTGGACCAGGGCAGCCCAGCTCCTGTGGAAAAGTCAAGCCAGCCCTAGGTTGTTCTTCTCGCTTTGCAGGTGTAAAATGAAGTGTGGAGCTGTTGGTGCTGATCTTTGGTTAGCTATCATTTGACCTCTCTAATGTTTAGACCTCACTCAAGAGACCGGGATCCGATACCACTTGACCTCTTCCTAGCTCTCTGACCTTGGACAAGCTACTTACTCTCTGAGACTCAGTTTCCTTATCTTGAGGTGGGAACTGGTAATAAAAATGCCCATTTCAGAGGTTTGAGGGCTTGGTGAGAGCAGCTGTGTTCATCATAGGATGCTGTTCTTGTCTTATCGCTGTCAAGTCGCCACAGCTCTTGTCAGTGTCTGCGAAGGGAGGAGCGGTGACAGCTCACACATTCTCGAGCCCTTTGAATTTTCCCTGAACTGAAACCACATTTTAATTCAGCCCACACTGCTACTGTTTTCCTTCTTTTTATTAGAAATAAAGGACAAAGGTCAAGGAGATACTGTAATAAATCCCACATGCAGACGCCAGCTACTTACACTTCCTCTGTAATTGAAACTCGACATCCAGAGATCAAGTCTGGCCCCTGTGTGTGGCAATTGGGACACAAATCACAGATGTATAAGCTTTCAGAGACCTGAAAGCTGAAATGCAGAAAAATATGGGTACCCCCTGGTAATGACCATGTGCCCATATTACATACACCAGGCTGCGCCAGGTAAGAGGGGCCTCATTCTTTTCTAATAAACTAACTGATCCTCCCCCACTGCTTTAAATTCAAGTTTTACACTTGGTTGGAAAATGTATCTAAGACAGTTGGTTTCACTCAGCAAATAATATGCTTCTGAATTTTTTTAAAAAATATATACTTTATTGATTTTTTACAGAGAGGAAGGTAGAGGGATAGAGCGTTAGAAACATCGATGAGAGAGAAACATCGATCAGCTGCCTCCTGCACAACCCCCACTGGGGATGTGCCCGCAACCCAGGTACATGCCCTTGACCGGAATCGAACCTGGGACCCTTCAGTCCGCAGGCTGACGCTCTATCCACTGAGCCAAACTGGTTTCGGCGCTTCTGAATTTTTTTTAAAAAATCCCTCTCTCAAAGCTAAAGAAGAATCCAGAAATATGGACACTCAAATTCTGAAGTCTGTTTTCTCAATTCTCTAATTAGTATGTCTGCCATGTTTGCATTTATGGTTTAAGTGCTTTGAATTTGTGGCTTTTCTGTTTTGCAAGAGTTACTGTCAGGGAGAGGTCTACCAAAAGAAACACGACTATTAGTGGTGGCAGGGCCAAATATATGTAACGGTGTGGTTGGTTTCTCAATCCCTATGAGAATTTTTGGGAAGCTGTCTCCAGACAGAGGTGGTGATGTGAGGACTGAAAGCAAACATGAGAAATATACCCAAGCAGACAAATGAATAAGAAAGAGCTTCCAGTGAGTTTCTTTCTGGTCTTTCAGGTTGAGGAAGTAAAGAGAACTGGGGCATAAACAGTGGGAAATTTCCATCAATGGGAAAAAACAATAGACTAATCCTCAACCCCAAGGTGAGAGCCTAGGGAGTCACAAGGTAAAGGATCCTGCCCCATTTGTCTGTTGTGACAGCCTCCCCCCCACCGCCCCCTCTCCCTTCCTCCTCCCCCTCTTTCTCCCCCCTCCCCCCTCCAAAGGAAGCCTCACCCTTAAACAATAGCAGCGTCCCTGGGAAGCTGAAAAGGTACATGCAAAGGGAATTTTTAGAAATCAAATCATTTCAAAAAGCACACCAGTGGTTGTGCTTTTCTGTATTTTCCAAGTTTCCTTAGTGAGAGTGTATACCTTTTGTAATTCAAATATATATGCAAATACTATTAGAAAAATAAATTTAAAAGAAGGAAATACACTTACGTGTGTGGGGATGGGTGACTTGTCACCATTTAAAGGTGCTGAGTAGCTCAAATTTTAAAAAAAAATAATGAGGATTATTTTGTCCTACAAGTTGTAACACTTCCTAACATATCTGCTCTCTAAATTTACAATCTATAAAGAAGTACCCAGTGTCAACAGTGCCTGTCACTCATCAAAACCCAGGACCCTGCCCAGCCCGTGTGGCTCAGTAGTTGAGCATCGACCTGTGAACCAGGAGGTCACAATTTGATTCCTGGTCAGGGCACATGCCTGGATTTCGGGCTTCATCCCCAGTGTGGGGCTGCAGGAGACAGCTGACCAGTGATTCTCTCTCATCATTGATGTTTCTGTTTCTCTCTCCCTCTCCCTTCCTCTCTGGAATCAATAAAAATATATTCCAAAAAAAACAAAACAAAAACCCAGGACCCTGCTCTACGAAAGCAGAGTAAGCCCTCAGTCAACACATACTTATTCGATGCTCACGCTGTGCCAAGCCCACCCAGTAAGTCCCTGTTCCTGGCCCTTGTTTCTGGCAGTTGGAGACACCCTCGTGCCCTGCCTTCAGTCGGCAGTCACGAACTCGGGATGTTTCTTGTTTGTGAGGGGCCGGCTTCACAGCTGCAGCCCTGAGGCCCACGGTGGTGTTGCGGTGTCTGCTGGGTGGTTTGGGTTGTGTGTGTGTGTGTGTGTGTTTTGTTGGGAGAGGATGGCGGAGGGATTCTTAGAAAAGGGGAGGAGATACCCTCTGCAGCTCTGGAAACGGAAATGAGGAATTATCAGCTCGGGGTCAGCAGAAGCCACAGCGCCTGGCTTCCTTCAGCTCCGCTCCTCTGGGTTGGCTCTGTTTTGTTTTGAAAAGTCTGAAAATGACAGGAGCTAGATAAATTGTTCTAGGGGGGAGCTTTCAGCGGGGAGTCCAGGGGTCCCCAGGGGATTCACGGAGAGACTTTGGGAATGGCATCTGTGAAGCACTTAAAATGATTGTAAATACTGTGGCCTGTATATGTATTTTCCCAGAGAAGAGCTCTCTGGCGTAAATTTATATCCCAAAGAATCCAGAAATTCATACATGTTAAAATAATATTCAGAACCAGCTCTACCCGGCTGATGTGGCTCAGTGGTTGAGCGACGACCTATGCACCAGGAGGTTAGGGCACATGCCTGGGTTTCGGGCTTGACCCCTAGTAGGGGGCATGCAGGAGGCAGCTGATCAATGATTCTCTCTGATCATTGATGTTTCTCTCTCTCCCTCTCCCTCTCCCTCTCTGAAATGAATAAAAAAAATATATTTTTTAAAAAAGAACCAGCCCTAGCCATTTTGGCTCAATGGATAGAATATTGGCCTGTGGACTGAAGGGTCCCGGGTTTGATTCTGGTCAAGGGCACCTACCTCAGTTGCGGGCTCGATCCCCAGCCCTGGTCAGGGAGCACGTGCAGAGGCAACCAATCCATGTGTCTCTCTCACATCGATGTTTCTCTCTCTGTGTCTCTCCCTTTCCCTTCCACTCTCTAAAAATTAAGGGACAAATATCCTCAGGTGAGGATTAACAAACAAGGAAACAAAGAACCGGTTCTGGGGGAGGTGTTCAGTTTGGAGTTGTGCATCTAGGCCTTGGCCCTAACTGGAGAACTCTTCCTGGTGGATGTCGTGTGTATGTAGTGGAAGTATCTGTGTAAATGTGTAAACCATCTAGGGCACCCACAGAAGTCCATGTTGCAGGAGGATGAAGAAGGTTTCACTTCTCCAAGTGCTGGAAACCCAGAAATGCACAATCCCTGCACTTCTGTCTAATGCTTCCTATTCTCCTATCTCCCAGTTGTCCTTGAACCTAGGCAGAACTCCTATAACTCTGTATTACCTGAACAATTCACTGTTGAACTGAACACTAATACCTCTTTTACCTGGTCTTCCACTGGTTCTAAGCAAACCAGGTTGATTTTCCCTGCAATGGAAGGTTGAGTTTGGCCCAGGTCTCCATGGTGATGACAAGAGAAGCATTTCTGCTGAACTTCTGAGCATCTATTTATCCTGTGCCCAACATGTTAATGTTGACTCTCTCACACTCGGTTCTTCTTTCTCCTCATAGTAAGCATTCCCTCTAGTCCAAATTCATGTCTACTGATAACCTGTCAATCTGTATTAGCAACACTCATCTCTCTTCTTCTGAGCTCTTTATCTATCTGTTTAACAGGGCCCGCAGACACTTCTCACAGGCCCATCAACACGCTCATCATATCACTACCCCACCTCAAGCATTCTCCCCTTGAAGTTCTTATCTTGGTGAATGGCTTTAACATCTATCCAGTTTTCCAAGGATCTTTTTCATCCACCCACCACATCACTACTCCCTCGATCTCAATGAGCCCCAAATAGTCTATATCCCCAGTCTTGATGGTCTTACATCTTAAATAGTTCATTAAAAAAATCCTTCCTCTTTACCCCTCATCTTGTGGTGCCTGATCACTATATTTAGTAGCAGGTCTTCCCACCTTCCAGTCCCCTTCCTCATTGCTTCCAGAATGGTCCTTCTAGAATGCATGTTATTTTTGTCCAGTTGGCTTGGCTCAGTGGTTGAGTGTCAGCCTATGAACCAGGAGGTCATGGTTTGAATCCTGGTCAGGGATTCTCTCTCATCATATCTCTCTCTCTCTCTCTCTCCCCCCCCCTCTCTCTTCCTCTCTGAAATCAATAAGCATATATTTAAAAACATAAAATAAAATGCATGTTATTTCCTTACTTAAAATTGTTTAATTGATCTCCTTAATTCAGTCTTTAACACAAAACTCACAAAACTCTCTAGGCATAGCCTAGAGAAGGTCCTGCCTGACCTGACTCCTAACCATCCTAAACTCCTTCTGGCTCATTGCTTCAGTCAAACTGAATTACCTATAGTTCAGAAAACACAATGTGCTTTCATTCATCTCCTAATCCTTGTATGAACATATTACATTTTGTTACAGCTGTTTTGCTTGGGGGCTTTATAAAAAAAAAACTATACTTCGCGGTCATGTACAAAACAAACACCCTTTTTCTCGCTCCGCATCACCCCATCTCTTCCTCCTCCTCCGTTCTTAACAGGAACTCTGTATCTCAGGCCATCTGTGAACTTGAACCTCTTTCTTAGCCTCCTCTTCCCTTTATACCTTATCTCTAGATAAACCTTCCCCTTACCTCTAGTTCAGCCGTGGGCAAACTACGCCCGTGGGCCGGATCCCGCCCGTTTGAAATGAATAAAACTAAAAAAAAAAAAAGACCTTACCCTTTTATGTAATGATGTTTACTTTGAATTTATATTAGTTCACACAAACACTCCATCCATGCTTTTGTTCCGGCCCTCCGGTCCAGTTTAGAACCCACTGTGGCCCTCGAGTCAAAAAGTTTGCCCACCCCTGCTCTAGTTCCTACCCTATCTCTAACACATACTCCAGGGCTGTTGGGGTCTGTGATGGTTGATGTTTAAGAATGGGGTTAGGTGGTGGGGAGGTCTGGGGCTGGATGAAAAAGTCAGGCAAGTCTGTTGTGCACACTTTCTGGTAAGAAACAATGGTTTTGCATATTAGCTGTTTAAACATGGCTAAGTAAAATGACACCCTCTAATTGACCCTATTGTATTGTCTTGTTTTGTTCTTATAGATGCCATACTGCCAGCTTAGAATGTCCTTTTTCCCTGTCCCAAACTAATTTCTGTTCACCTTTCAAGCCCCTGCCCAGATATCACCTTTGCTGACCCCAGGATTGGGCTAGATGTCACTCCTCTGTGCCAATGGCACTGCAGGGTTTCTCTGGGGAAGCGGGATCACATTGTATTGGGATTGTCTGTTTAT